GCTAAGAAAAGTAGGAGGGGTCCACTCCAAGTGGCAGGGTGCTGAAATGGGCTAGGACCAACAGGACACTGACTCTAGGTTTATGACCTCTACATAGCTGTCCCACAGCAGCTGGGTGCCCACCTCCAGCCTCCCATGTGAGCCTGTCCTTATGTATAGTGTCCAACTTCTGCTTCTAGCAGTCAAGTGTCTTCCCCAATCCTAATGTCCCCTGATCATGTCTCTAGCGACTTGACTATCTCTTGTTTCTTGGGACTGGGGCCAGCCTCTCGTCTGCCCACTTCCCTCTCATTAGTCAGATAGCCCCAAAAGCTCTATCTTTAGCTCCCAGAGAATTTTTTGGTCCTCAGTACTTCCCTTCCCCATTCCTTCCTATTCCCCACAACTGGGGGAGGGAAGGGAGAACAGGGGCACCTGATCATCAATCTCCCCTGCCCCTCTCTTGAAGCACCCTAGATTTGGATGAAGAGCAGGCCAGTGAGTAGGGCAAAGCCTGCTAGGAGCAGGATGACCTTGAGGATCCTTTGTTCAGAACTGGCCAGCTCCTGGGGCAGGATTTCCAGAAAGGTGATATAGAGAAAGGTGCCAGCTGCCATGCCCTCTAGCACAGACTGAGCCAGCTGGTGCAGAGGTCCCGCCGACTCAGCCAGAGCTGCACCCAGCCCGATGCCTAGAGGTGTCATGCATGAGAAGAGGATCCCACAGCCAGCCACCACCTGTGCCCTAAGGTGGCTCTGCAGCAGCCGCAGGGACAGGCTGACAGCCAGGATGCCCTTGTGGAGCAGCAAAGCCAGGCACAGCTCCATCGCCCGAGCCCGGTCTTGCTGTAGCCCCACCGCCAGTCCCTCAAACACAGAGTGGAGGGCCAGGGAGAATACCAGTACACAGGCACGCAAGGCTGAGGGGCTTGCTGGGGCTCCACTCGCCTGTGGAATCCCTGGCCCATCATGCCAATGCTGCGGCCCACCATTCACTGTTCCCAGCAGAGCCCTTGTTTCCTCAAGAGGTGACAGCCCTGACTGCTCCTTGTAAGCCAGTGTGATCTGCTCCATCACCAGGACCAGGAAGAAGCCCATGGCCAGGATGAACTCTTGCAGCGGGAACTGGAGCTGTGGGCAGAAGCGGCAGCAAAACGTTCAGGGAAGGAAGAGTGAGATGCAAAATCTGGTGGAAGCCCAGTTACACAGACTTAGGGTCCCACACAGATACAGGGCTACTCTTGGTCACACAAAGATAGAGTGAATTGGTAACACTGATACAGAATGATACACACACACAGATTATGGTGTCACTCACAGTGTTACATGTAGACCAAAGTTTCTCAGCTTTGGAACTATTAACATTTTTGGGCCAGCTGCGGTGGCTCATGCCTATAATCTCAGCACTTTGGGAGACCAAAGCAGGCACATCACTTGAGCCCAGGAGTTTGAGACCAGCCTGGCCAACATGGTGAAACACCATCTCTACTAAAAATACAAAAATTAAGGCCGGGCGCGGTGGCTCAAGCCTGTAATCCCAGCACTTTGGGAGGCCGAGACGGGCGGATCACGAGGTCAGGAGATCGAGACCATCCT